CCCCCTCTCTTTATGTGGAAGACCTCTTTTACTCGGCTGATAACGCTGACTCTCAAAGCCTTTTTTCCCCTGTTGTTTTTTGGGGAGGAGAAATCCTTTTTTCCGATCAGCTGATCGGTCAAGCACTGTTTCCAGTTCTTGACCGAACAGGAGGTTACCGCCAAACGGAATTCCGCAGAGCTTCGTCTTTGATGCCACATCTCCTGGCCACGTCTTCAACCACAGATCCTCACCGCTTCCATAGAAGCATCTGCTATGTAGGCTACCGCCTTTTCTAGCACTGGCAGAAAATCCACAATTGTGGCCCTGTCCGTCCCCTCATTCAGATGATCTTTTAATTGTGCCAGCCAGACATCTAATGTTCTGGCCATACAAGTAACAGCCACCGCTGGCTTGAACCCGGCCCCCGCGGCTTCCCAAGCCCGTCTGAGCAGTGCTTCAGCCTTTTTATCCATAGGGTCTTTAAGCAGGCCCATATCTTCAAAGGACAGGTCTGTGTTCTTTGAAAATTTTGCCAGGGAAGCATCCACCTTGGGACATTTTTCCCACACCTCCGAGTCTTCCCCTTTGAAGGGAAATCTTTTTAGCTTGGAGGAAAAAAACACCTTCCGCTCCGGATCTTTCCACTCCATGGTCACCACGTCTTTAATAGACTGGTGAACTGGGAACGTGCGGCCCCATTATGGGCTGTAGCCCTTTATATAATCTGTTGTGTATCGACAGTTCCCCTTGCTCCTCGGAGATACCCAACGTATCCCATACTGACTTGAGGAGCTCGTTGGTCTCATGCGCAGGGAGCAAATATCCCCCCTGAGATGGTCCCGTGTCTTCTCCTGACTCTAACCCTGCTTCCTCCTCAGCGGAAGAATCCGACACCGTAGCAGCCCTCTCAGAAACACTGCTTGCTCATGAGGCCGCCTAACGGGGAGTGTGCGTCCCTGAACATGAAGGCACTGCTACTGCGTGGCTATCAGTCAGACCCCTCTCCGGAATAACTGTGCGGATCGACTGAAAGGAGGACATCATTTCTTCCCGCATGGAATCCAACAGATTTTTGAACATGGTGGAGGATTCATCCTTAACCAGTTCCCCAATGCAAGATTGGCATAGGGGTTTTTTGGATGTGGAGGAATACTTCTTATTGCATTGCGCACATCTCTTATTACTTGATCGATTTGCTGCAGTAGCCCTCTGCAAGACAAAAACGACCAAGCCATGTTAAAACCAACACCAACACTGTGTCCACCCCATTTCTCATGCCCCCAACACTGAGAAATAACCGGTAAAAGGAATGGGGAACTCCCCCTCTCTTACCTTAGAGCTGCCGGCACCAGGATCCCCCAGATCAATTGATGCCATCATGGTATTTGAGTCTCCAGCTGGGCCCCCTGGCCCCTCCGACTCCAGCTCTTGTGCCCCACCGTTGGTGCCCCCCCCTTGCGTGTGTGGGCACCGCAAGGGCCTTGCGACCCACTGCTTCCACTATGTTGGCCATCTGTAGCGTGACCGAGTGTTAACTGTGGCTTGGAGACGCCGGGTCATATGACCCTCGCACCCGGAAGTGACGTCAGACGCCCCAGCCGCTTCCGCCCTGACATCTCTTCCTCCTGTCTCCACGAGGGCCGCCGCACAGCACCTCTTCAACGGCCGACCGACGCCCAGAGACCAGGACCAGGGGATGCCGCTGTCCACCACAGAACTGACGAGCTTGCACCCGGCAACAGGATCAGGTAGGAGCGCCACAATCAGCCAACACCACTCTATAGTGCACTTGAAGCAGGGGTTTAAGGACTAGGGGAACTCCTCTGAGTCCACTACATCAACAGGCTGGTTGTCCTGCATACTCGTATGCCGGGAAACCATAGGCAATTGCAAGCACTGTTTCCAGTTCTTGACTCCTTGGACAGTTGGGGCTGTCCCGGAAGCCCCACTCCATAGGTACCCCAGGTCCACTGACCCTCTGCTGTACCATGTTGGGGGGAAGCCCCTGCTCACTAGCACGTAGGCCTAGGAAAAAAATAACAAACGTGACGATGTCCTGCTCGGCCGGAGGAAACACAAAATAACTGAAGTGTGCTAGGCTGGGACTCTTTTTATTCTAGGTGTGGGTGATGTGTTTCCTGTTTCCGGTGGGAGGAGCCTATCTCTAATGCTGTCCTGGAAGGTGACTAGAGAAACAGCAGAATTCGTTAAATGTTCAAGAGCAGCTGTTGTTAAAGTGTTTAAAGACTGGACTGTCAGACGAAAATCTGGGTCTGAACGTGCAAATTATCGTCGTCAGCGACTAGTCAATGTTAGGGCAGAACGGAGAGTGGCAAGACTGGTACAAGACAACAGGAGGGCAACAGTGCATCAAATTACTGCAGATCTTAATCGGGATCCTCTCAAATGTTTTCTGAATGCACTGTTCGCCATACACTGCATCGCATGGGATATGGAAGCCGAAGGCCTGTTCGAACACCTTTGCTGTCTGCAGTTAACAAGATAAAACGTCTCCAATTCGCACAGAAACACAAGGATTGGACAGTTGAGCATTGAAAAAAGTCATGTGGTCCGATGAATCATGTTTCCAGTTGCATCATGCAGATGGCAGAGTAAGAATTTGGCGGGAACAGCATGAAAGCATGCACCCCACATGCATGAGTACAACCCTTCAAGCTGGTCGGGGCAGTGTTATGGTTTGGGGCATGTTTTCCTGGCATGATTTGGGCCCTTTAATTAGTGTGGAACAACGTCTGAATAGCACAACATATCAAAGTTTCGTTGCTGATCAAGTTCATCCTATCATGTTGATGGCGTATCCCAATGGAGATGGCTTCTTCCAACAAGACAATGCGCCATGCCACGGTGCTCATATTGTGCAGGAGTGGATTCAAGAACATGAGGGAGACTTTACCTTGCTTAGGTGGCCCCCACAATCACCAGATCTCAATCCAATTGAGCATTTGTGGGACGAAGTTGAAAGAGCCAGCAGGCAGCTGGTTCCACAACCATCAAATCTCACAGAACTGGACAGTGCTATTCATCAGGCATGGTGTCAGATTCCTCGCATCACCTTTCAACATCTCGTGGAGTCAATGCCAAAAAGAATCGCCGCAGTATTGAAGGCAAAAGGTGGCCCAAGTACTGATGGGGTGGTCATAATAATCTGGCCACTCAGTGTACAGCGCCAACAGTTTGTGCAGCGCTTTACAATATAAGGAAGACATTACAAACACAATTCAAGACAAGATGGCAAGGAGGGCTCTGCCCGGGCCGTGAGGGCTTACAATCTAAAAGGGAGGGGCAAGTGATACATGAGGAGGTTACTGTGTGGGGATGAATTGTTTGAGAATGTGATGGCTCAGTGGTTAGGATGAAATAAATCCTAGTATTCTTTATTGAAGAATCATGTCATATGTATAGTAAAGCCAACGTTTCGGAACCACGCAGGATCCCTTCATCAGGGAGAACATAGTGTCACTATGTTGGCCCTGATGAAGGGACGCTGCGTGCTGATAACTTCTCTATACAGAGACACAGTGCAGAACAACACAAGTCAGTTATGGGGTAGAGATCAGCTGCTGGGAGATCACAGGCAATCTAGTGACTAGTCTTTTGCCTTCTGCCTGCCATTTTTGGGGGCAGCTTCCAGAATTTAGTTCCTCTTTAAGTGTGTTATGCTAATGTATTCTGAATTGGCTACCAACACACTGTAATGCATATTTTATTGGCTATGCAGCATTTTTTTAAACTGCATCACACAACTGTGCACAGATGCATTGGAGTGTCATTTAACCCTTTCCCTGCCACTGACATACGGCAGAACACAACTGTTTGCAGTATGCCTTACATTGCTGGCTTTGACCCTTCCGCTATATGCTCCTGGTTGCTTTAGCCGTTTCTTGGAGTTCATTACGTGAACAGTATCAGTAGGTATTCTGATACGAGTAGTTTAGAGTGCTGCCTTCAGCAGGAATTGGACACTGACAAACTAAAAATCTGTTGGACAGCTAGGTATAACCCCTTCCACTCCCAGCATGCCTCAGTTTTTTCCCTAGTTTTCTAGAAGGATGGACATCTTTTCTGTTTTAACATTCACAGCTGTTGAATAAATCACTTAATTCAAATATAAATAAATATACCCCATAGTAAGTATGAAAGAAGAGCAATACCCTGTCAGTTTCTGAGCAATATTGTGTTTCCTTGCAGAGAGAATCTATACAGCAGTTCTGTTGGGGGAGGTGTAGCTACTCCTCCCATGCTTATCGTCTTCCATGATAAATATTCCTCAATCACTCCAAACTGGCACATCAGACATCTGGGTGAGTATACTGTCATTTCATTATGCTTGGAGGCTAGTCTGGTAAATAAAGCAGCAGCAATTTTATACACTATAATAATATTGAAATAGGATTTAAACCAATCCAAACCAGTTCCAACACCCGTCCAAATATTTGTAATTCTGTTCATCCCCTCATGTAATGTTTACCCTACCACATTGTGTAGCCAGAGGGTAGCACCACGCTTTAAAGCTGAACCCTTGGTAGATAAAAAAAAAAAAATACAAGTTGATGCAGGTATGTGTTCATTTAAAAAAAAAAGCAACTAGTGTAAATACGTGAATTTGACCTCTTGCAATCCTCTGTACAGCAGTCTTCTGATTGGGAGAGGGAAATGCTGTGCTTTTATGCTCGCAAGTAGCATGCTGATAAAAATGGAGAGCAGAGAGACATTGAGATGAGCTCATCAGTTTGCGTCTACTCCTTCACTGTCCAATCTGAGCTGGAGGCGGGGACAAGACTAGTTGTCTTAACTGCAGAAGAAAAAAATCAGGTCTGCAGGCTGGCTTTGTTGTCCTGCAGAGCTGCGTAAATCTCAGGACTCGATGGACAAAAATATAAATCCTTTGGCTGGTAAAACAGATCTCATATATATATATTTTAGCAGTGTAATTAGATGTTTGCCTGGAGTTCAGCTTGAACACAAGTCACTGCTTTATGGGATGTATTCGCTCTGTCTCCAAAGTTTTCAGGGAATTCCAGCAGCAATCTCAGCAGGCAAACTATATAAATATATGATCCCTTACCAGACCCTTGATCTGAGCAGGGGAAGTTCATGCACGCCTTCCACTGCACCATACCAGGCCATATACACTCAACACGGGGAGGGTGATGCACCAGGGGGGACCCCCTGGCAAAGCACCTTGTCCCCTTGTTGATGAGGAAAAGGGCCTCTTCCTCACAACCCTGGCCCGGAATAGTTGTGGGGATCTACAGGCGGGGGGCTTATCTGAATATGGGTACCCCCTTTCATAAAGGCACAACACATGGTTTTTGACAAGTTCTTTATTAAACCCGCCCCCAAAAAATATGTCCATCGATGTAAACCCCAGGTCAACCTGACAAACTCTCGCCATAAGTGACAGTTCTGCTCTGTAATGTAAACAAAGGGGTGGAGCAAGTCAGGAACTTGCTCCGCCCCTTTGTTTACATACAATAAGGGGACCAAGAGATGTCACGGAATGTAGTCAAGGGGGTGGAGCAAGTCATGTGATTTCAAGACTTGCTCCTCCCCTTTGTTTACATTCCAGAGCACAGCTGTTACTTGCAGTGAGAGCCTGATAAGCTGGCGGGCGGCGGGAATTTTTTCTTTTGTCTAGACCGCTTAACTATTAACAAAACTGTAGCTCTTGTATATCATTTAGCTGCAGATCTTCAAATCATCTCTGAATTGGTGCTGACGCTGTCCTTTCTTGTGGAGGGTGGCTACTTTTGTTCCCCATGGTCCCTGTGTGTGCTGTAAAGTAGCCACCGCTCCAAGCTCACTCCTGTGCTGGACTACAATCTCACATTTAGTTAGCTAATTTGTACTGCGATTGTAGTCCATCACAGGAGTGAGATTGGAGCAGTGACTACTTTACAATACACACAGGAACCATGGGGAACAATAGTAACCAGCACCAATTCAGAGATGATTTGAGGATCTATAGCTGGGCGATACACAAATAATAGTTAAGGTACTTGAATGCATTTTTAAGATGTAACTAATGAGTGTAGTGTCACTTTAAACTGACATTTCTCTGGCAGCAGCTGAAAACCTCAGAAGAAGCAGTGATGCAAGTATAAGGGTAACAGCACAGCCAGGGCTGGATTTACTCTCTCTGCTGCCCCAATGCCAGGTTCCTCAATGCGCTCCCCTCTATGCAGGCTGCATATAAGTGATCTCGACGACATCGCCAAGATCACTTATACAAAACAAGCGGTGGCTTCCCCGCTGTACATTTAGCCATGCTTGCCCAAAGCAGGGCTAAATGTAGAAAACAACTACCCACCCGCAACTACATGTCCCAGGCGTCGGGAGATAGGAATTCCACACCCCTGCTGCCCCGAGGCCGGGTCTCGGATGGCCATGTGGAAAATCCGGCCCTGAGCACAGCGTCTATGAAAACAAATCAGCAGTGGCAGCTTTTACACCTTTATCCTAACATGTTCCCCTGCACCACCAAGTCAGGGATTAATCTTTCTATTTTTTCTTACCTTGCTCACGTGGATGGTCAGTAAACTCGCTAGATGTCTATAAGAGTACAACTTCAAGCGACCACTCACAAAGCAGAAGTTGCAAAGCAAATATCATCTTGCAGAGTGCACATAGCATAAGAATCAAACCCACATTGGACTTCTTTTTGTCTCCAGCTGCTGTGATTTTCTGAATGGTCAGGAAAAATGTAAATGTCGTTTAGTTGCAAAATGGCAATCTTGGGACATCCTGTACAATGTATGTGTACAGATCATCACATAAATCTGGTTTCCTGCTAGAGTGATTGGTTCAGGAGACTGCTCTGAGCCAAATTACAGGCACTCCCTGCAAATCAATGCAGGGGATATCAATGACACGGAGAAGACTTTTTGCTCCAATCCACCTAAAGCTGAACTTCAGCTGAACAAAATGCAGCACCTGAATTTGACCTTTTTATCAGCTTATTGCAATCTCCTGAACAGCAGTACACATACTGGGAAAGGGAGTGACGGGGCTGGGAGCCAATCAAGTGGGCTGCATACAAATATGTTGACTGGTAACATGCTGAAAGGAAGAGAGAGCATAGTGAGCAGAGAGATTACCTCATCAGTCTCCGGCTACTCCTCCACTGTCCTAAGAGCCACTGGATCCTAAGCTTATGAAGCACCTACACTTACAATTCGAAAACTGAAGAGCTTTCCAGAGAAACAAGTTATTAAGGAGAACATAAACATGGGAGATATTTTGCCACAAATACAAATATTTGTGACAAGCTGACTTAAGATGTGTCTGGCAACGGTCATATAAATGATAAGCGTTATAAAAAATCTTACTTTAAATGGCCATCTGTTTCTGTTTTCATTTTTTGCAGGATGGAGTCCAGATGATCAGATTTCTCAGAGTGTCCTTAAGGATGCCAAGCTGCTTCACTGGAATGGAAGATACAAACCATGGCAGATCCCTAGCTCACACAGCAAACTATGGGAGAAATGGTTTATTCCAGACCCCACGGGAAAGTTCCAGATCCACAAACTGTGAACCACAGCCAGCTCACCCAAGACCGTTTACTAGCTAGGCATTAAAGAGTACATGTACTTAAACAAATATGTCATGAGAGAGTGCCATTGACCATTGCAGGCCCCCTTCTGAACATGCTATTTGGCTGGCTCTTGTCCTCACCAAATGTCTTGAATACTTTCTGAAACGTTAGACGTCCTTATCCACTTCCTTGGTCTGGGTATGTGACAAAAGTCATAAAGCGACAGCATGGCAACTATGCAACTGACATTTTTAGAATAAGAGGTCAGTAATATCTTAAAAGGATTCTGTAAAGTGAACAGTGTATATGAACACAACTAGTAAAGTGCAGGTGCATGATCGGGCTCACAAGTATCTGTGCTCATCTGCACATCTGTTCCTTTGTGCAGAGCCAAATTAAACCACATCACCTAGCTTGCAATGGTCAATTGCAAAGGACCGTGTTGGCTAATAACGACTCTGTTATTTGATGGTTGAATGACGAGTGGTAGTAGTTCACCAGGTTTGGAAACACAAGTTATGTTCAAGTGTTACAAAAATACTGTGAATAGGATGGGTGAGGGGGGGTAGATCTTGACTCGGTTTTTATGAATATACTGTTATGTGTAAAGAGAACCACTCATACTTAGGCTGAAGCCAGAAATGGAATATTCAGCCTTAAATTGGTAGAATTGTGCAGGCTTACCTTTGAAAGATACTGTATACATTTGCTCTCTTATTTACTCTGTCTTAAGATGACTATGCCTCTGGCTGATAGTCTTAGCTGATTTGGTCATGTCATTACCGTACTGCTCACTTCCTTCTGAAGGCTCTGACATGAGGAAGCAAAGCGCTGCCTCTAACAATATGGCAACCTCCCTACAGAACAAGACATGGTAAGTCAGTAATAGGGAAAGATTATCTGCAGGGAGACCACAGGCAATATAATATGGTGGTTAGCCCTTTGCCTTTATGGGCCCAGCTCCCACTAGACTAGCAGTCACAGGTATCAGTGCCTTAGATCTCACACTGCAGATATACAGTTATGAACCTATAAGCACGCCCTCACATACTAGGAAATGCACTTCCATCTATTTTTCAGGATGAACTCCAGACCAATTGTCTTTTTTTTCAGGGTACTGCTTAGACAATTCACATTATTACATGTTTCCTATAACATAGCAAATGTTCATTTTCTGAGTTCAGGTTGACTTTAAGGGCGCCATATTATAAAAAGGTGAGAGGATATCGTATCTACTCTTTGTTATACTCTGCAGTATTTGTCAGTACCATGGCCTTCATTTTAAGGCCCATTCATAAAATGCAGACTAAGGGTTTTAACCTGCTGGGCTTCATGGCGTTTGCCCTGCTTAAAAGGAGAACTATGGGGTTAAAGCTTTTCCCCATAGTTCTCCTTAGGGTAACGGGAGGACACAAACTAGCGTCCTCCCGTCACCCTAAGCTCAGTATACCGCTAGCTACAGCTCGCGGTATACTGAGACGCCGCAGCTGAAGCGGATCCCGACTATGTCTGGATCCGCCCAGCTGCGTGAGTGACAGCTGGCTCTGCCTATCTAGAGGCAGAGCCAGCTGTACCCGCCCCCTCTGACTGGCGGATCGGAGCAGGGGGAATCCTGCCCCTCCCCTGTCACGGCAGAGTGCTGTGACAGGATCGAGAGGTGAGTGAACGCCGGTATGTGTTCGCTCACCTCCCGATCTACTGAGCCGACCTGTGACAGTCTCATTGTCACAGGTCGGCTAGAACTCACCTCAAAAAGCACTCACCTCATAGTTCTCCTTTAATGCAGCAGAGGGAAGATATTGGAGGAGAGCCAATCATGTGACTTTTATGAAGCACATCTATATGCATTACAATGTGCAGAGGTTTTTACAGTGGCATAGCCCCAGTACAGCTTTTTTTATTTTTAAGCGTATCCCTAAATGTTTAGAACCTTGCATAAGCCCAGTTCTCTTCAAGGTTAATGTTGTATAACAGCTGAGCCTATGAAAACTTCAGTAACTGTTCCGCAATCTATCTTGGTCCTGGTAACAGTTCTTAAATGTCACCCTTCAAAAATACCCTAAACCAGTCTATCTTCCCCCCACGTCTTGTTTGCAGCATCAGTATGTTTAAAGGAAATAAATCACTTTTCACTAATATCGTCTTTTAGTCTTTAATAAGGAATATTTATAACACACCAACATAGTCTGAAAACATCTAGCCATTACAATACCATGGCAACATAGTTACATAGCTTAATATGTGAACATCGGAAAGAATTGCACAAATGGCTGTCTGGGTGTAATAACGGGTGTTTAACAAAGAAGTAAAACATTGGTGTATAAGGGAAAGCTATTGGACTGTTCACACCTATGCACATGGAGCAGTGGGCCTCCAACCTTAAAGTCACTGTGGAAAGGGCAGAAAGATGGCTTCCAGCAGCACAGAGAGCTTTGGAAGTTATTAGTAAAAACAGAATTGAATAACAAACTTTATATTAGAAGATTAGATCAAGCTTCTGCTGACCAGACATTATAGAACGTTCCACCTATTGTAGCGCACTGTGGCTCATCTTCTGACTTTACACATGGACCCGCTGTAATCCTTATCCTTGGCTTAGTGACTCACTGACCCAGAAGTACATGCATATGCACACGACATGTAACTGGTTGCTTGATTTTTTTTTTTCCCCAGGTCAGTTGCTCACTATGTAGTGATGCAAGGATACCAAACTGGTGTCAGCAATGGCAGCTTCCATATTTCTACTTTGACATGCACACTTTAGGCCAAGGATACTTCCATTGTAAACCCCCACAGTTATGATCTATGTTTCTGCAACAAGTCACAGTATAAAAACAGAAGCAAAACGTATTGTATTACACATAGCAACACCAGGCAGTTGCTTTTTTTTTTTTTTTTTTTTAAAACAAGGTTTAGACCAATCTGATTGCTATAAGCACTACCTTAGCAGTCCACTGGCATCTTAGTAATCTGCTTTTTACAGTAGATCACTGTATTGCAAAGTAAAAAACAGAGACAATAAGAGAAACTAGCAACCCGAGAGGCAGGCATACTACCTCTTCCATTGTAGGAGAGTGTCATTTTAAATCTCTGAGACCATGAAGTAATATAGAAGTGTCCTGCTCTTTTGCACTTCTCGAGCAGGCATTAATAAGAGCAATATCCCTCTTATGAAAGGAAAATCAGACCTTCCACTTAATGGTCATATAAGTATACAAAACCTCATTTGCCAGTGCGAATGCAGACTAAATATCAGTTGAATATATATGTGAATACATGAGGAGCATTATGTGTGAGGCCCGGTGCACACAGCGTTTGCCGCGTGGCCCCATTGATCATTAATGGGGTTACATCCACGTGGCAATCGCTGAAAAAAGGTACATGAACCTTTTTTTGTGGGAAACTGCGATCTACCTGGCGCAACTGGGGTACCATTAGAAAAGAACACCGCCAGCGTGATCAGCGATTTCATGCACGATTGCAACGCGGTCATGGAGCACCCGTGTGAACCTTGCCTTAATAGAAAGTTTTGGAAACTCCAGCTGGTGGGAAGACAATGACCTCTTTATTAGTATAGGACAAGGGTAGGCAAACTCAAGCACTCTAGCTGTGGTGAAACGGCAAATCCCATCATGCATCTGACTCTGGGAGGCATGTCTTTTGGCTGTCAGTCTTGCAGTGTCTCAGGGGATTGGTAGTTGCACCACAGCTGGAGGGCCATAGTTTGCCTACCTCTGTTGTAGGATATAAAATATAGAAAATACATTTTGGTGGATTCTTCTTCAAAGCTTTGGTGGTGTTACACCTGTTGGTTGTACCAGTCACAACAGACTCTATAGAACACCGTTATCATACAAGGACCTAGACTGCAGTGCCCATAAACTACAGATCTTACCATTACTAAAGCCCTAATGAAGGGCCCAGTCTCCTGAAATGTGTTAGCTATGTTTTATATCACACTTCTAAAGTGATCATATTCCCCAACCAGCTGGCACTACTCACCTACTTGAAGGGACCTTCCATGAGTCAAAACGCCACAGACCTACCCAGCACTGACCAGATCCACCACTACAAGGTTTATTATCTATGGAATGGGAGGGGGAAGAAAAGTGTTGTTTCATAGAAGGGTCACATGTATTGCTCAGTACGTTTTCAACACTTACTATCCCTATGACACTGAAACCCCAAAATTACACAAACACAGGAGCTCAACATTTATGAAGCGTTTTTTGTTTTTTTTTATTTCGTGGACAATTTAAAAAAGAAAAAAAAAAAAAAAAGTATATTTTAAAACATGTGGGCTAACATGGTTGTAAAAAGGTTTATATCATATCAACAATATATCAGAAAAAAGTTTTAAACAGATCAACAGCAGTATGAAAACCCCAAAGAAAAAAAAAGGAAAAATATTGAGTTGACAACCAGAGAAGACAAAGTATGTTCATTGTATTATCCAGAAGATCAGAAGGTAATACATGAATGTGAAGTAACCATTCTACATATAGCACCATAAAGTGGTCCCATATTCAATATTTTTAACCTGATTTTTATATTCATATAGTGTCATTAAATATTCACCAAAAAAACTTGAATAATGTAGAACTACAGAATGCATGATGTCCATGTGAATGACGTACTTTGTGTAAGCACTAGCACAGCTGAAAGGTTTACATGCCTTGATAGCTTCACCTATGGTTCTTATTACTGCAGCATGAGATAAGAAGGAAAAGGTCATCATCTTCCTTGCCATGGTTTGAAAGCAATTTCCAGCACTCCTTACAGACCAGCTGCGTATCCCAAAGGACACTGCATCATGCGCCTCAGTGCAGGGCCCTCTAGTGGCAGGCAGAAACAGCCTCCTCTATGTTAAAAGAGGTAGAAACAAATGCTGGAAGGTTGCACGTTAGACAGGAATGGTAATACCATTTGTTTTTTTTTTCTCAGGCTGCAGAGCAAGGGCACATATAAAATTACATTTTCCTTTATTACCCAACATAAATCTTTTACATATGTAAGGTTTTAAAAAATATGACGTGAAGAACCCTGCAGCAACCAATCACAGATTGTTTCAATGTGTATATTAAAAACTGGCTGGTTACAGCATCTTAATGCTTTTTGTTTTGCACTACAGAACGATCTACAGTACCACATACTGTCCAGGATTTTAGGACTTGCATAATTTGTTTGGCTTAAAGTGATATTAAACTCAGGAATTAAATCTTAAAATACATTTAAGTACCCTAACTAGTAACAAAAAATGTACCTTATTTGTGTATCACTCCAATCATCTCTGAATTGGTGCTGACACTGTCCTTCCTTCTGGAGGGTGGTTACTTTTGTTCCCCATGGTCCCTGTGTGTTGTAAAGTAGCCACCGGTCCAAGCTCGCTCCAGTGATATACTACAATCTCATATTTAGTTAACCAATTTGTATTGAGATTGTAGTCCATCACAGGAGCGAGCTTGGAGCGGTGGCTACTTTACAACACACAAAGGGACCATGGGGAACAAAAGTAGCCACCCTCCAGAAGGAAGGACAGTGTCAGCATGAATTCAGAGATGATTATTATTAGAGGATCTACAGCTGTGTGATACACAAAATAAGATACATTTTTGTTAAAAGGAGAACTATGAGGTGTGTGATTTTCACTCACCTCATAGTTCTAGCCGACCTGTGAACAATGAGACTGTCGCAGGTCGGCTCAGTAGATCGGGAGGTGAGTGGAACACATACCGGCGTTCGCTCACCTCTCGATCCTGTCACGGCTCTCTGCCGTGACAGGGGAGGGGCTGGATTCCCCCCTCCCTGCTAGCGCTGACTGGCGGGACGGGGGAGGGTACAGCTGGCTCTGCCTTTAGATAGGCAGAGCCAGCTGTCAGTCACGCAGCTGGGCGGATCCCGGCACAATTGTCGGGATCCGCTTCAGCTGCGGCGTCTCAGTATACCGCGAGCAGCTGCTCGCGGTATACTGCGGCGTCTCAATATAGCTCGCAGTATACTCAGCCTGGGGTGACGGGAGGACGCTAGTTTGTGTCCTCTCGTTACCATAAGGAGAACTATGGGGAAAAGAATTAACCCCATAGTTCTCCTTTAATAGTTAAGCCTCATTCACACTGGGCGTACAGGTCCGGGTGGTGTGCATGCCCGTAAACAACTGATCCCCGGAGGGACAGGTGCTGCATGTGATTGCGCTCAGCAGCCTGTTCTTCCTTCTAGGACGACGCAGTTGTACAGTATCAAACGAACACAATCCTGTCTGCATCCAAGTGCAGACATCCGTCCCCGCACGGATGACAGCGTACAGCCGCGTCCTCCCATAGGGAAGAACAAGCTGCTGAGTGCAATCACACGCAGCACCTGTCCCTCCCAGGATCAGCTGTTTATGGGTGTGCAAGCCACACGCCCAGTGTGAATGAGGCCTTTAGGTACTTAAATGCATTTTTAAGATTTAACCAAGTCAGAGATGATTTGAGGATCTGCAGCTGAATGATACACAAATTAGATACAGTATTGTTAAGAATTTGGGTACTTGAATGCATTTTTAAGATTCATCTCCAGAGTTTAGTGTCCGTTTAATGAAGCAAATAATTCATTATTGTATGTCAATTCTAATTGGCATGGCATATCAGGATTAAATTATATAGCGTTTTACTATTAGCCATACATAATGGGGAACAATCACACTAGACACGCAACGTGTAGATTATGTACCAACTTTCAGCAATAAACTACTGCTAGCTGATTTCTAATTGGCTTCCAAAAGCCTCTGCACAATGTGTTATGTGCAAATTGTGACCTTACCTTGCTACAATGGTACTTTCCTATACATGGCTAAGGTGAAAAAAATATATATAAGCTCATGTACCGTGCATCTTTTTCAAAGCACAAAGATATCACAAACTGCATTCGACCACATACAATAAAAAATAAATAACAGCTTTGACAAAGGATTAAAAATGAGAGGTCTTAAATTATGTAATTCAAGTACAAAAAAACACTTTGTAAGACATTAAATAAAGCACATCATGTTTACTCATTTTAACTGCTGCCATTGGTTCACGTTAAACAATTTATTGTAAGGAACTAAATTCAGCATGTAACTGTGGACAAAGTATAATAGACTATAAAAACCTTCCCTGCAGGAGCCGAGAACTTGCCTGACAGATATATGCATAGATATATGCATAAACGTGGTGAAAGTATACTCAAGCACAACCCAGCTTAAGTTAAGAAAATCACATAATTTGCTATTTTGTTAAAAGTAAAAACAAAATGATGTCCAAAATTTACAGCACCGTCGTTCTATCCATATAAAAATGGAACAGTTAAATCATTTCCTAAAATGAACAGCATCAAGGGTAGAGCATGCAGTTCAGAAACAACTGCATCACACAGCCAACATTAAATACAAAGCAACTGTGACTACGCTAGTTCGTATGCTTTTTTTTTTTTCCTCCAAAAAGTTAATGTTTTTAAAACTTCCTACCTTAAAATAAATTGTTACTACTACTGCTTACATTTTAATAAAAATAAGAGGTAACGTTTGAGACGAAAAAGTCTTCAGTTAGTCAACTGAGGTTCAGTTCCTTGTGACTGCAATAAAACTGCAGTGACACTTGCATAGCTTGGAACACGCAGCAAGTCTCAAGCACTGCTGCTTTCTTGTCGCTGGTCCTCACAGTGGTTAAGCGTAGACATGTGCTCACCATGGGGCTCAGATGGCCACGGCCCGTTCTGAACAGACTCAGAGTTACAGGGTGCTAGAAAAGAGCAAATCAATACAGTTAGGACAATTCTACTAATGTAATGTAAGCTTACCATTTGCAATGCACAAAACTTGCAAAATTTATTTTTGTCATGTCCCTCTGTGTTTCAGGTAGAGATCTCTATAGGTTGTTATATACCACTCTTCACTAAACCCTCCCTTCAGGGAACCCCACAGCCTGATATCAAACATTGCTGCTTGGCAGTCCAAGTGCAATATTTGGAAATCAACCATGGTTTTCTGCATCTGAACCAGACCCACACAATGTGGCATCAGTATTTAGAAGTAACGGACATGACATCAGGCTCATCTTTCTGGTTTTTAAAAGGAGAATTATGAGGCGAGTGTGATTTTCACTCAGCCTCATAGTTCTAGCCAACCTGTGACAATGAAACTGTCACAGTTAGGCTGTTCCTGGTGTGCCCCCTTTAATTAATTGGATTTCAGTTCATTCAATCATGGATGTATATCATCACATGCTGGAGTTACTGTTTACATGCAAATGCAAACTGCCTAGTAACAAACATCCACCCATTAAGGCATTTTGTCATTTGCATAACTCCTCCCAGCTCCTTGCTTTAAAGGAGTACCAAGGCAAGTTTGCTGTGACATTTTCAGGAAGCGATGTGAAGCACCCCTGCTTGCGCCTTCCACCAGCCATAATCTGCCTGCATTACATCCCAGTTGCCTTTTTCTACAACATATACAATTAGTGTTCTATAATCCAAAAGAACTAGAAGGGCTAATTAGACTCCTTAAGATAACACAGGAAGTGTGCACAAGAACAGATATTGTTTGCACTTATTGAACAGATATACCAAAAATGGTTTCAATGTTATACTTAACAGACCAAAAAAGTAACAAATAAGGTAAGTTCATTGTTAGAGTTTACATACCCTTTAAGATGTATTTCTACTTTTGCAGTCAAATTTGAGAAACCCCTTCTATATGTCTGTTATGTGATCCTGGTCACACAACATACTGAAAAATAACTTTAAAAATTCTTACCTTTCAGATGTTATGTTAAAAACCACTTGCCATCCGGGGCATTTTCCTACTATTTGCGCACACATGATAAAATATACATTTTTGGCTAGAAAACAGCTTCAGACCCCAACAATGATATATTTTCTGAAAGCTGAGACCCTGTAGAATAAAAAAATGCTAGGTGCAATTTTTTACGCCGCACGGTTTTTGCGCAAATGTTTATCAAACCCGTATTTTAAGGAAAAAGTAAACTAAATTAAAATTTAGTGCACAGAAACATAATATAATACCCAATTTTTTGGTAAAATATGAAAGACGGGATCACGTCGGGTAAATAGATACCAAACATGTCAAGCCTTAAAATTGTGTTCGCCCGTGAGGCCGCAAAAAATATAAATACCCAAAATTTCTCATAGGGAACATTTTAAATGCTTTTACCGCTCATCAGTTTAGTGCTAACAGTCATTGACAGTGCTATAATTATTGCTCTCGTTCCGACGTTTGCCGCGATATGTAAAATGTGTAGCGCAATTGTCATTTTTGCGTGTGTATGTGCGTGCACGTGGGGGACGGGGGTCTTAAAATTTTTTTTTCCATTTTATAATTTTTCTTTTATGTTACTTTCATTTTTAAAACTTTTTAAACACTTTATTTTATTTTTTTTCCACTAACCCTATTGCTATTACGTAGGGAGCTAACAAGCACCCCATCTAATAGCAGATAGGGTGTGACAGGTCCTCTTTATGGCGACATCAGGGGTCTTGCAGACTCCTAATGTCACCTAGGGACCCCAAAGAAGCTGAGGAAGCAGAGATCTGCTTCATCTCCTGGCTCTAAGAGCCGGAGACTGTGTACAGTGACACCGGAAGTGATG